TCTGAGACGCGTGTTTTGATTTGATTTCCTTTTACCCATATAGTCTAGGCTATATGCTCTGGTGATCGTGAAAGTTTGGTGAAACCCTTTTTTGTTTGAACTTTTTCGACTCTTTATAGCGAAATTCATTCTTATGGTCTATAGCAACGGTCTCATTGGCGCCATAAGAACCAATGGTTACACTATGCAAGGCGCGGTGTATCGTATGTAACAAAATTTAGCGAAACTACACGTTGTAAGAAGTTACCTGCCAATAACAGCTACCAATAGCAGGTCCCATTCATTTTTTTCGTTTCATGCGAACGGACGTATATTAAAAAAATTTTTTTTTCTTCTCCATACACACTACGTAAATCCACGTGTTTTGTTTCTCTTACTATAAATAATGTCGAGCTCTTCAAGAACTGTTATTTCGAAATCGTTATCAAATAATAATCAAGATCAAATTCTCAACTCTGAAAAAATGGTTAAGTCTATCATCGCAGCCATTTTGTCTGATACAAATTTTATTGAAAAAATAGTTCACTCTGTTATCGCCAAAGTGAAAGAACTGGTTGAATCGTTAATGGCTATACAAGATGAAAAAATTAGCGAACTTGAAGATAAAATTACTCAATTAGAAGCAAGTCTAACTGATCAAAATTTATTCGTCTCCAAACTTGAAAGCAGTGTAAAGATATTGAAAGATAAATCTAATCATCTGGAACAGTATGGGCGGCTTGATAATTTACGAATCCATAATGTTCCCGAAATACAAGATGAAAATGTGCACAATATTGTCATGAATTTAGCTACACAAATGAAAGTCGAATTACATTCACATTCAATATCCGTCTGTCATCGAACTGGACAAGCTAAAAACGGTAAACCAAGGCAAATTATCGTTAAATTTTGTGCTCGTTCTGAGCGAAATTCTTTCTTGTACGGACGCTCAACACTTGGCAGTAGCAATCCTGTGTTCATATCAGAAGACTTGACAAAATTGAATATGGACATGCTGATTAAAGCCAAAAATCGTCTGGGTTCAAAGAACGTTTTCACAAGAAATGGGAAAATCTATGAAAAACAGATGAAAATTTAAAAAACAATCCCCTAAAGTTACCAGTATTGCTATACTCAAGATAGACTTTTCTATTGACTATGACACGTGAGAAGATTCAGTTTGTACTCTTGTGTTTTTGTACTAGCGTAGATGTGTGGGAGAAGTCACAACTATGCTTCTCGATCGACCACATTACTTTCTTTTTCTATTTTTTTTTACTACTCCTATGAAAAGCATGGCTCCTACGACATCAGTGTATGCATGTTTTTCTCTCTTGTCCTTTATCTCTTTCTTCCTCTTCTTTCGTCAAGAGTAGTTGAATTTTGTACGATCATGGTGATCTATGTGGCGGAGAGAACGCCTTCTTTTTCTTCTTTTATCAAGGATGTCAACTAACGTACATTGTTTAGAAGTGCACAGTACTTTAGATATCTCTATACACAACGTCCGTAGTCTGTTGGCTGGCGTAGCCCCAATAACTAATCTACAGAGTATCACTTCAAACGCACAACTTTTACCATCTTTCAGTAAGTTTGATGCTCTCAAGGCTTATACATCTTTATCGAATCCTGCCGTAATAGGAATAGCGGAAACTTGGTTATCTCCCGCAATTCACTCTAACAGATTAACACTTTCCAACTATCACCCGCCCTTTCGCAAGGACAGAAACAAACACGGAGGGGGATGCATGCTTTATGCAGGCACGGACATAAACGTAAAGCGGCTTGACCAGTTTGAAAATGATAGCTTTGAGTGTATGTTTTTTGCTTTGACAATATCGGCCAAACAACGTTTTCTGCTTATACTCTGTTATCGCCCTGATTAGTGCGATATTGATGAGTTTCTAGCTAACATTAAAAAAATGCTCTCGATACTCGCTTCCAGAAAACAAAACTTTGACTCAATTATTATCACAGGTGATCTCAATGCACACTGAACAGCGCGTGAACAGGTATAATGAAAGGTGAAAAAAAAGCAGTACGCCATCTATCATTTAATATTCTTTTGTTGCTTGATGAAATAACGAATGAGAACGTAACTTATTAAATTTGAGAAAAAAGATTAGCAAATAATTGAAACTTTATTGATATTTAGGCACTTCTTCCCACAGCTTTAGAGGTTTCAATAATATTTATTAGTTTGAATGGTAGAGCTGCCTTCAAAGTTTAATCGTTGATTTTACCTTTATCTTTTTGATTTATCGCCTAAACTGTGTGTTAAATATGGATCAGTTAAGGTGAGGGATCTTTGCTATACACGTTGGCTTCGTGAAAAAGCTAAAAACAAAGAACACATCGTAATCAGAGATCAAAAGCATCATATACTTTTCTGTTTTATTTTACGTTTTCAGAAAAGTGATTTCTTTTAGAAGATAAATAATTAAAGTATATGTTTATATAAAATATCTGAAAAATGAACTGTTTCAATGCAGGAATATTTAGTATTAGAGAAGAAAGAAAGAGAGTTCAGTTGTTTTTGTAACGACAAAAGTCTATTAATGATAGATAGCCAATATACGGCTGAAGTTGCTTGAAGAGTATAGCTGGCAGATATTGAAACAGTACAAATATTACAGTTGGAATAATTTCTATCAAGTTTAAAATAATAGTATTAAACATGAGAACATTCTGAACTGCTTTTATGGGCAATAAATGAAACAGACACTTTGGCATATAGGACGAGAAGATGCTGTCAGAAAAAATATCAGTGTCGGACGTGTCATATATTACAATTAGGGTTGCCAGTTGTAATGATCTGTATAATAAACAGTTTAGTTCACATTATCTATTTTAGTAAAACTTTGATGTGTATTTTTCTTTCCTTTTTTTTCGTCAGGCAAAAGTGATATATATACATCTTTACATTCAACTTCTACACTATGGAATGCATCCACATAGAGAAATTATAGGAGGAAGAGTACGAGTCTAAATGTTAAGAAATATTATTGAAAATAAATACACTACTGGTGTCATTTGTACACTTTTAGCATGTGAGTTCCTATGGCTTTCTATCTTCAGAGTTTGTCCATTACACAAGATGTTTTTGTTTTAGAGAGCTGACTGCTGCATTAGTCTAACTCATATCATTCTGTTTTTTCCGTATTGAGTGTGCTAGTAACAGTGGCTGTGTGAATTTGGATTCTAGATCTGGAAAACGATTTCATGAAGTATGAATACATAAAAATATCAGACATGTGCGCAAATTAATAACAGGATACGGGACATTTTGAATTTGTCTTGTCGTTTGGAATTTTCTAAACGAAGACAGCGCAATTGAATATTTGTAAAATTGTGGTTTTTACTAAGTTTAACATCAGTCAAATAAATCAGTATGTGAACTTTATTTTTTCTTAGTTACAAAAGAAAAAAACTAATGACAAACTATAAGGTATGAGGGAGAAAAAATAAAAAGTTGATTTCTGATCGAGAAAATTGAGAATTACATGCCGAATTCCGACTTTTTCGCCTCTGATTTAGAAAAAATGAATTTTCTCGGCAACGAAACAAAATTTGAAAAAAAGCTCGACATAGCTTTGAAGAGGAGAATCCGGCGAATCGAACGCGGTGTCAAGCTTTAACACACATAATCACATAATCAGCACATAATCGTCATCAAACACTCCTTTGAGTGACAAAAAGAAGAAAAATCCTCTGAAGATCCTCTCAAGATCCTTTGAAGATCTTATAAAATCTGAAAATGATTG